GACCTCCGACAAAAATAAAACTCTTTGTGCGCATGCGTAATTCATATTTTATAACACGACCAAAGACGTCAAACATATTGACATTTCAAAGACTAACGGATGTTCGTGGAATAAACAGTCACATAACAATGACAGTAAATCAGCACAAATGAAAGTGTCTCATACAGTTAAAAATATTTATTTACACCATAGACAGCTGAAGGATTAAAACATTTTTCCTAAAAACTATGCAGGAGTAATTATCGCTAAAAGACTCAAATTACATGCCAATATAATTATTGCTAGTAAATTGAATCATAAGACTGACCTCCCAGTGAGTGTGGCGGGGTTGCATGATGCTGCAGAAGTGGCAGATGCATTCCGTAAGCGCTTTGAGGTAACTCCACCGGTGGTTCGTATCACACAAAAGAGCCACCCTAGGTCAGTCAGTAACGAGTGCCCTCCAATATATTTTTTGGCTAAAAGTGTATCTGATGTTATTCAAAGTATGGAGAGAGGGAAATCTCCTGGTCATGATGGTTTGAGCATAGAACATTTGAAGTTTGCAGGTGTTCATTTGCCTCGTGTGCTTGCAATGTTTTATAGCTTATGTGTTAGTCATAGCTACTTGCCACCAGAACTCACTAAAACTATTGTAGTACCTGTCATTAAAAATAAAACAGGGGATCCTTCTGATATAACTAATTATAGACCCATATCCTTGGCTACGATAATGGCTAAGGTATTGGACAGTCTCTTGGATAGTATTTTAGCTAAGCATATAGATTTGTATGACAACTAATTTGGTTTTAGAGCAGGTTTATCAACTGATAGTGCTATCTTATGTGTTAAACAGACTGTACAAAGTGTGTAGTAACACAGCTAGAGAAACTCCTATATTTGCTTGTTTTTTAGACCTATCAAGGGCGTTTGATCTTGTTAATTATAATATACTGTGGCAAAAGCTTTACTCGGAGACCAATGTACCTAGGGAGATTATATCTGTGTTCAAGTTCTGGTCATACTAACCAGATGAGGCTCGCAGGTTTGCGCGATGTACTAGATCCGTTAAACTAACTCTTTTCAAAACATATTGTCAGTCTTTTTATACGTGCAGTTTGTGGGTTAACTATACGTAGCGGGCCTTCGATGATCTGCGAGTCCAATACAATAATGCATTCAGAGTGTTGCTGGGGCTGCCGTGGCGATGCAGTGCTTCTGGTGTATTTGCAGAGGCTCGTATAGATGGTTTCGGCGCTATTATGAGAAAGCGTTGCGCCTCTGCACTGACTCGTTTACACGGTAGTACTAGTAATATTCTCAGTGTTTTTGTTGATCGGTGGGATTTGCCTCTCTTATAGAAGTGGTTACAGTATCAAAAATGAAATAAAAAAAAATAAATAAAAAAAAATGTAATTATATAATTAAAAATTTAATGTAATATAGTTTAATTTGGTTTTATTGGAATGTGTGATAGAAATATAATTTTGTATTTACTAACATTATTTTTAAGAGAATTGTTTCTAACAATATGGGTACTACCTGAAATAAATTATTATTATTATTATTCCTGTATTTATACTTTACTCTTCCCGACCCCTCGACGATTCGAGGGGTGGGAGGATTCCCCCGGCAGAAGAAGCCAGACGGCCGGGGGTCAGGGCGACAAAGAGAGAAAACGGCGGACGATCCTTGCGTTATCGAGCAAGATCGCCCGCTGGAGCCTCGCAATTATTGGTCCGTCACGGAGTCCCAACCTCTTCAGATGGTCGTGAAGAGAAGTTGGGACTAGGCCATTCGTTGACACTACGACTGGATTAACAACTTCAATAGAAATGACTCGGTTAGTAGAAAGTATTCGCTAAATATATATGAGCATTTGATAACAAGCTCATAGTAAAGGTCACAAGCCATAATGTCATTTAGTGAAAAAAACTAAGTCATTATCAGAGGATAAACAAACACTCCATTCCCTCCTATCACGTCAGAAATAACAAGTGTTTTCCTTAAGGCCAAGCCAAGAAGTTCCGTGCGAAGATCGATACACACCGCGCCGTAATCCCTTAAGAGCTCCATCATCCTGAAATCTTTAGCTTTGTAATCCGAGTGGTAGGCAGTATCCTGCTCAAAGTTGATAGCTTCCAGATTAGCATCCGGCTTCTGGGATTAGCATCCGGCTTCCGGCTTCTGGGAGCTAGTAGTTTCTAGTATTCAATGTGTAGCAACGTATTGCCCCTTACCAGCTCTCTCGCGTTTATATCGGCCCCTATTAGCGAAAGTATCTCGATTTTAGACTTGGCGTTCTCCTAGTTCCACTCAGCCACTGCGTGAGTGGCTTGTCTGTCATAGACGTCGTACTGGTACAATACGTCCGTGTTTCGCATGGTTTGCACAGACTCTAGCAGCTCTTTAATATTCCCTTCGCGGCACATGTACTGGAAAGCATTCCCTTCGTAATCAGTCGCTTCAACAAACTTTTCGCCATTTTCAGTCCCGTTTTGTTCCATGCTCTGCGTCGTGGCTAAAGACGCCTCTTTTGTCTTGTGTCGGGCGCGGGGTGAGGGGACGCTCCCACTATAGTAGAAAAAAAATTAATATATTTAAATAACAAACATAAACTTTTATTATTTTAACATAAAATACCAGTTAATCAATAAGAATAACAGTTAAGAACTGCCAACAGAAGGTCATGGTCAACCATATTGAAAGCATTGGAGAAGTCTATAAGAACAATGATGGTCACCAATTGCCTTTCCATGCCAATCCTAATGTCTTCGGTGACTTTCAGAAGAGCAGTAGTTGTACTATGTCCGGCGCGGAAGCCGGATTGGAAAGGAGTGAGAAGGGATTTGGAGTGAATAAAGTTCGATAACTGTTCATGGGCTGCGGCTTCTAGGACTTTGGATAGAAAAGGAAAGATTGATATAGGTCTAAAGTCATTTAGTTGTTTTGGAGAGGAGATTTTAGGAAGGGGAATAACATATGCTTTACGTCAAATTCAGAGATAATTCAGAGTAAAGTTGAGCCTTGGAAGCAATTTTTTTAATAGTAGTCGATTTGGTATAAGAATGTAAAGAAGAGGTAGAAGAAAAATGATTATTGAAGTCGTTAAGTGAAAAGGGGTAAGACTGGGGCTGCGAGGATGATTTTCCCAAACCTTGAGAACGTAAAAACTTCAAAATATTGGCTGCAAAGCACGGAAAGCCCGATCTATTCTTGACATGGCCATACGAACACCTCTAATAATCCACGGAGCAGGCAGCCACTTCAGTCTAACAGCTCTTAATGGAGCATGTGTATCGTATAAATTAAGTAAATATCTATTAAAGATAGCGACCTTCATATCAATCGAAGCAGAATCAAATATAGAAGAAAAGTCAAGCTTTGCAGCATCCTCACTCAATTTGTCATGGTCAAGTTGAGCGAAGTCAACACTGGCTTGCAGCCATTTTCTTTCTCTTGATGCGTAGTCTGTGAGAGGTTGTTAAAAGTTTTTGCTGAAAAAAGTAAGTATTTATGTGATTTTTTCCTCATAGTTTTTCTAAAATATATGCAGTATATAGAAAATTGCTTTCGAGAAAACGATTAGGTATATTGTTTAACAGTGATTCTCGGTGATATAGAATAATGTAGACAAATATTTAGCCAGTCATTATGATTTTTAGGTTACTTTGTCAGATTTGTACCTGTGGACACACAACTGTATGTACCTGTGGACTGTCCACAGGTACAAATATTTTAAATTTATAACTGCTATGGAAATTACTAAATAAAAAATAATTTATTGGCTTTTTTCAGTGCCTCGCAGCAAAGATGGCAAAACGCGAAGAAAATTGCATGCGGAAACATTAACGGAGGCAATTAAAGAAGTTAGAAATGGATTTTCTTTGCGAACCGTTGCAGAAAAATACACCATAACTAAATCTACCTGGCATGTACACAAAATGGCGGGCATAGGCTGGTTAAGATACTATCGTCAACGACATTCACATTTATCTCTAAGGAAACCTGAAGCAACCAGTCTGGCTCGAGCAAGTAGTTTTAACAAAGCTAATGTTTCAACATTTTTTGATAACTTACAAAAAGTGATTGAAAAATGCCACTTCAGCCCTGATAATATATACAATCTGGACGAGACCGGAATATCTACAGTGCATAACCCGAGAAAGGTCTTGGTACCAAAAAAAATTAAACAGTTAGGTAAACTCACTTCGTGCGAAAGGGGTATAAATAACACTTTAATTGCATGTATCAATGCTCTTGGAAATTTAGTTCCGCCATTGATCGTATTTCCTCGAGTTTTCTTCAAAGACAACACGCTAAAAATTAGGCCTAAAATTGCTCCTATAGGTACAATTGGTGCAGCAAACCAATCCGGATGGTCAACAAAATTAATCTTTAGGAAATATTTAGACCATTTTATAAAATTTGCCAAACCTTCAAAAAACAACCCGGTTCAATAAATATTAGTAAAAGTTTTGAAGTAACGGGCATATACCCATTCAATAGGGATATATTCAGCGAAGAGGATTTCCTATGGTCATATGTTACTGATCGTCCGGAGCCTACGTCTGCAGTTTCTGAAAGTTCAACGCAAATATATTTCAGTCTGAAATATTTGACAACGAAACCCAACGAAAGCCTAATGAAGATCAAGTGGAGCCTGTTGCTGGGTCTATTGTATTTCGACAAATAAATCATGGTCATGGTGCTATAGAAATTCAGCCAAATAGGTCTGGTGGTCAATCTGAAATGTCAGTTTTTGATGAATTCGCTGATGTTGCTGGACCAAATAAAGAAAATGCAGAAATCACTTCTCGCAAACAGCTTATTTCACAAGTAACTCCTGAATCAATCCGCCCATTTTCAAAAGCAGCCCCTCGAAAAACAAATCAAAGGGGAAGGAAACCTGGTAAAAGCAGAATATTAACTGACACACCCGAAAAAATGAAATAAGAGACGAAGCTTGCAGAAAAGCAGAAAATAAAAGGAAAATAGAAGAAAGAAAAGAAAAAAAAAACATGGCAAAAAAGACAAAGGGCTCCTCAGAAATGCTACCAAAGGCTGGTCCTAGCCAGAAGAAAAGCCTAGCTGGTCCTAGCCAGACGAAAAGCCTAGCTGGTCCTAGCCAGACGAAAAGCCTAGCTGGTCCTAGCCAGGCGAAGAGCCTAGCTACTGATAATAGGATCAGAATTATTGAACAACGTCAGTTACCCTATGCCATGTGTATGGGTTGTAAAAAACATGAAAAACTAAACAAAATGCTGAATTGTTCGTTATGCGACTTAAAATATCATAAGAAATGTGTACCTAGAGCACACATGGACATTTACGATTCTGATGATGAGTCGGATTTTGTGTGTTTCACGTGTTATGTTGTAGATGATGATGACGATTCAGATGTCTCCGATAGTTCCACCTTAGAACTTTATGAACAGTATCGCGATGCCAAAAAAACAAATTAATATATGATTGTTTACTCTTATATTTCTTTTATTATTATATTTTATTTCGTGATTGTTGATTTTGCTACAATTATTATTTGAAAAAAAGTGGCCTGTCCACAGGTACATTGCCGTTCATAGGTACATGTAGTGCTGTCCACAGGTACAATGGCATGTTGCAACTGTGGACAAAAGTAGCGTTTTAAAAAAATGTGATTTAGATTAATAATAAAGATACCTATAAGAACAAAGACTTCTAGATGAGTCGTATAGAACCAAAGGCAGCAATCTGACGTTTTGGTCAATTTTGACTTATGGTAGTGGCAACACTGGAAATCTTGAATAAATTTATTTCAACGACTCTCTCAGAATCAGAAACGGCTTTCTACTATAATTACGACTGTTTTTAAATGTTCCTTCGTACCAAATCCGGCAATCTGCTAATACTTAAAAGTAAAGATGGCAATATTGTACTCTCAACCAATAGGAAGCCTTCGATTTACCACGAGATAACATGGCGGATCTAAGTAAAGTTTGTTAATTTGCTGTGTCTTTCAAAGTAAATTATAGGTGTCTCAACCATTGCACTTACTTTAATTTATGAACAAAGTGAAGATGGAGAGTTACCCAATACCTGTAACTAATAGATACGCAAGAAAGCGGCAACGAAACCCAGAGAATTGGAAGAAGAATGTAATGAAAAAATTAAGGTTAGTTTCAATCTAGGGTTGTCCATTTTCACTTCCACCAATATAAAACAAAAAACGAAATTACATTGAGACCATGCCGGTTTATCAAGAACAGTTTGTGATTTTGTTAAATTTTGGTGTGTTAATCAATAAATCGGCTATGAGCATATTTTTGTATAATTTTGATAAATCACTTGTAATTTAAAGTCGTAAATACAATTTCTCTGTGCAGGTATTCAGCGAAAGGTTTGCCAAATAAAGTATGCACTCATAACACAAAGTCTTTACAGTGCTGTAAACTAGACATGAATCAACTTAAGAGGCTACACAAAGCATTTTACGCTACAAACAGAAAAGCAGATCAAGATGCTCTCATTTTAAAACATTGTTCTATTGTGTCCGTTAAACAAAAACGAGGAGGATATAAGGGCAAGAAACAAACTACCATAAAATACTCTGTATTTATTGAAAAACAGAAGATCTCCATTTGTCAAAAATTTTTTCTATCAATTTTTGGAATAACAAAGCACAGGGTATCGTATGTATTATATAGATTTTATTATACAGGCGAATCGCTTACAGAACACCGAGGTGGGGATCGAATTACTCTGAAGTATGCAGATAAAAGGAATTCCATACATAGTTTCATACAAAAGTTAAATTGCATTGAATCGCATTACTGCAGGAAGACAAAATTTGCCGAAAGAAAATATCTATCTTCAGAACTGAACATAAAAAAGCTACACGATATGTATATAAAAAGCGAATATTTTTGTTCTGGCACAAAACAGTCTTATTTTAGAAATATTTTTAATAACTATTATAATATTGGATTTGGCAGCCCAAAAACTGACGTGTGTTCAGTATGCTTGCAATTAACTGAAAAGATTAAAGCTGAACAAGACAACGGTAAAAAGAATGAACTTATTACTGAAAAAAGAATTCATAGCTTAAGAGCAAAAGCATTTTTTGAGAAACTTCGAGAACAATGTGAGGGCCTCATAACAATCTCGTTCGACTTTCAAAAAAATTTACCTCTTCCTAAACTACCTGACCAAATCACCTACTACAGCCGTCAATTATACTTCTTTAACCTCACAATGGTTGTGGGATCGTCAAATGATTCACTGGGTAAAGATCGTGTGTTTGCTTATTGCTGCACCGAAAATCAGTTTAATAAAGACTCCAATTTGGTCGCTTCTGCCGTATATCATCGTTTGACACATATTGACAAAACAGGCATAAGAAATATTCGTTTAGTCGCTGACGGATGCGGGGGCCAAAATAAAAATTGTATAGTACTAGGAGCTTGTAGTAAGTGGCTGTTAGAGAATCAAAATATATCAAGCATTGAACTAGTGTTTCCAGTTACTGGGCATTCCTATATGCCAGCAGATCGGCAGTTCGGGATAATTGAAAAAAAAATAAGAAAAATGGACACCATTGTGCATCCTGATGAAATAACAGATGTGATCTCTGAAACTTCGACAATAATTAAACTAGGAAGTGACTGCCCAGTTAAAGACTGGAGAAGTTCTGTTAAAAGTGTGGTTAAAGACACGACCTCTTGGCCCATGAAGTTCAAGGAATGTAAAAGGTTTATTTTGAAAAGGTCAAAAAAGGAGGGCAATGTTCTTATCAGAGGGGAATTGTTTTATAAAAGTGATGTTGGAAAAGCCGTTAATGTTTGTCAAAAGCACAAAAATATTGCTATGATTGTACCACAAACAATGAGTGATATTAAGGCTTTGAATAAAAACAAGTTACAAGATGTTAAAATGTTGTTAAAGAAACATTTTGGCGACGACTGGGTAGATATCCCTACTCTATCATTTTACAATGATGTCCTCTCTTCACAGTCTGAATTACCAGCTCCATCTCATGAAACTAACTACTGTGATGAGGTATTAGTTGAAACTAGTGATCTACGTGTATAAGCGTTCATGAAAATAGGATTTTTTATGCCTGCCTAGTGGTTTTTAGAGCTACTGGGTAGTAGTGAGATCTTGACCCGATCCCAAGATAAATAAATTATCGTAGGTACGGTCATTCGTGTCATTTGTTCTTTCGTTACTGATTTTTTTTATTGTGTCGTTTAAATTTTTTTTTTTTAAATATTGTTGATTTTTTATAAATAAAACTCAGAAGATACTGACTAGGTCAATTTCATATTAATGTTACAATCTTGTCATTAAAAGTAAAATTATAATTTATTTTATCACTGTTTGTAATAAAATAATATTTTTGTCTTGCTGTTTTTAATTGACAACCCTACCTATTATTTATATTCAAAATGTCTGCCTGCCTAAACCTTCGTACCAAAAACGGCATTCTGCTCTTAGTCTAGGACCATAAACGGCAATCTACATTTTTCAGTAACAAAGGCGGCAATCTGAATTGTATATTTACAGTTTTTGTCCCTATTCATCAGATTCTAAAGGATATACCTTTTTTAACCGAATCTTATTAGATAATAGTTGATAATATAAATGTTCTTATTAACGTGAGTAGTAATCGCAACTTATAAAACGTTTTTTTCATTTTCCTGACATTCAGTCAAAGTGCAGATTGCCGCCTTTGATTTTATACGACTCAAATGTTAAGCGTTGACTTATTGTAAAACAATTTTTAGTACTACTCTATGGCTAATAAAAAAAAATTAAGTCACAAACCTCATTTTAATTAAAAATCCGGAAAATGTCCACAGGTATAACACTTTCACCTAAATTAATTTCAGTTTAATTAATTTAATTAGGAAATTGATAACTTTGTTTGAAATTATGATTACTGTTTTTTTTTTATATAAAATGGTTTTTTTTAATTATACTAATTTACCATTTAATACAGAATTGTTGAATATAGTGGCGTCATGGGCTCCTGGCCAACGAGTCACAATTTTCATGAAAAATAATTTCGCACTGCGTAGGTACTGCTTGCACATTCAATGAAAAATAGCCTTTTCTGTTGCGAAATTCCTCTCCAATCTGAGAATATATGGGAGTTGTCCTCTTTTCTGTAACTCCTATATTTAGATTTTTTAAATTGGTGTTGCGTAATAAAAGAAAACTATATTTTTGTCACAAAATATGTTTTATTATGTCTTATAATGTTAAAAGTCTTCATTCATGTGGTATGTTGTTGTAGAAGTCCCTGTAGTCCACCGGTAGGGTAGATTTGAATTCCTGGAGGTCTTTGAACTTGCGATTTTTAATTTGTAGCCGATTTTTATAAAGATTCGGTAAGCTCTCAATTGCCGTGGGTGCGATATTTCTATCGCATCGTTCTTGTAGTAACTGCCACTCGTCTTTAAATCTTAGTTTAAAATATATGTTCCCTTTTTTATATTGCAGCGCATGAATGTCTGTGACCTGAACACAAACAATTTACCTAATCAATCAATTACACAGTAAAATGTGTTTTTTACATTCCTACTGAAACCTGAAGAAAAAGAGTAACAAAATTGAATAAAATAATAAGGTCAAATATAAATAAAATCAAGGGTACTGTAACGTCCGAGCACATTACTATAGGTAGGGTTTACTCTTCGGACGGTTTATGGTCAAGTGCTGGCCGTTAATATTTGAGGGGTGCCTAACCATAACGTTGTAGGTGCCAGAAAATGGATTTTTCAGGAGAGACAAAAAACACTTTTACAGGAAAAATAAAAAGCAAAGTGTTTATTAAAAATTAAAGTAGGAAACTATCATTCTCTATCAACAATTTAACGCCAATTTTTTGAATTAGCAAAATACGAAATTTAAAAAAAAAATGTTTAAAAAAACGAAAAGCTCAAAACGTTTTATGTGCCATTAATTCTGCAAGTCATAACGTTGTAAGCGTCTTATTACTTGCAATAACTTAACACTTTTAAATGTATTAATTTTAAAAGGTTTTTATAAAAATAATTATACCGCATCACTTTTAAGGTCTTTATTTGAAATAGTTTACATAAAAATAATTATAAATCAACACTTGAAATGTGAAAATGCAGGGGAAGCAAATTGTTTTTTTGAAAATCTTTATTTTAAAATATTTTCATAGAACAATCTACTCTCCCCGGCTAAATATGGCAACATGCCATTGATGTCTTTTTTTTTTCTCAGCAGACAAGGGTACAGGTGTCTCGACCATGTCAACTTCTAGGTTCTCAAAATGAGACTTCGTGATTCCATGTTTAAGCACTGGTGTCGACGTCCATGGTGCAAAGTCGCCATAACTTTTTTTTGTGCGAATTACACCAAAATCTGCAGATGTCAGGTTAATCATTGTTGCCGAAGATATCTGCAGTTTTTTTGTATTCATCATACTTTTTGCCGTATCCATCCAATTAAAAAAGGTTTTAGTATCCACTACCAAGAATGGTTTTTTTTTTGGCAGCATTTGCAATGAGCTCAATAAGATCTTTCGGAATCAGTGGCTTTGCACACTTTTTCGCTTTTTCAATGATCGCAAAATCTCGATCGCAAGCAAGAAATGTATGACCCTTCACAGGGAATTTATGAGTAATTTCCGAAAAGAAACCTTTTGCAATTAAAACGAGGAGCATAGCTAGTACAGCTTGGTTCTTGTTTTGTCCGCCACAGTTATCGGACCACAAAATTAATTTTTTTTTATGTGTAGTGTACCCGATTTCACTATAAGTAAAAAACTTGTAAAGACAAGAAGCGATCTCGTTGGATCCTCTTTGCCCAACAGTTTCATTCCAGAGAAACATGATGCCCCTTCCTTCGTCCTCCAAGTGAATTCCCATATTGACAAACGCAAGCTGACGACTGTAGTACATCTGTGTATGAGTCAATGTTGGAAGGTACATCTGTTGCTGGAGATCAAACTGAACCGTTCGAACATCTGAATCAGGGCATCTAGAGTTGGCTCCATCCTCATTCATCATCTTTCTGGCCATCTCAGCTTGCTTGTGATGAAAATCCAATTTTTGCTTAGCAAGATCTTTTATTTCTTCAGATACAGCAGTATCTATTTCGATTTTAGAAGAGTCGCACGTCGAGCATGTATCAACTCGCGGAGGCTTGAATCACATTGGCCTTTAATTTTTTTCGTAGCGGGTAATAAACTAATAAATTGTAACTCTGGGTTATTAAGGGTAAATAATGTAGATGCTCACATTATAAAGTATGGCTTGACATTCCAGCATCGAGCTGCTTGTTTCAAAACATTTATGGCTTTCTATTTTCCTTCTTGACAAAGGTTTTTGGTTGCTCCATCTAAAGATCTTCTGTAAAGATAAAGAAGAAGGCATCGATATGATGTACCTTGAGGTCTTTCTCAACAGATAAACAAAACAAAAAGGTTTCGAAATAATCTTCTCCCCACTTTTGGGAATAACGTTTGGCAACTAATCTTGCCTCATGTCGCTGAATTACACCATTGGCTCCTATTTTGAGTTTAAATAACCGCTAACATTTAACCACATTGGTCCCACAAGGACGGTTAACTAAATCCCAAGTGCCATTCTCGATAGTGGAATAATATTCTTCTTCCATTGCTTTCCTTCAAAACGTCTTATCTGAGCGCTTCATTGTATACTTTCTATTTATGGAGCATATCAGTCGAACTCAACTGAATATAATTTAAGACTCAATTAACCCATTAGTCGTCACTGTGTCAATTTGGGTACAGTTAATTATTGGGGGTAGAAAAAAAAAAGTGTTGACACCACTTAAAATATTGTAACCGTTTCGAGTAGTTCAAAGTGTCGTGATTTAATACACACTTAAAAGATTTAGTAAACGTCAGTGATTTTTGATATTTTACTTGTGAAATTTTTGTATCAAGACACGTGTGGAGGTATGTATTGGTTTTTTCATATTATTATATCAATACAAATAGTATTACTGTGATTATTTATAATATACAATATTCAATAAATGATTGATGATTTATAACTTATTGCAGTTGCCTATAATAAGAATATAAGATTTTGTTGCACTTGAAACTAAGGTGTGCCAATTTTGGTACAGTGGCCACAAGTGTAGTTATTTTATCCTTTTTATTTTCAGAGTTCCAAAATGAAGCAGGCGTATATATACCGCTAATAACAACTTTAAAGAATTAGAAGAGGCTGTAAATTCCATAGAAGAAGGCAGTGACGGTTTGGAGTATGACTTGGCTATAATTCCACCCGAACCCAGTATTGTCACTGATGAAGAAGAGGGTTTTGACGACGATGTTTCATCTTACATGCCAAACGATGTCCCCGGAAATATTGAGGTATTTGTTTGCAATTTCGGTGTTCTGTCGGATTCAGAGAATAGCAGCGATGAAGAGCCTTTAGCTGCCAAAAAAAACCGATTTTCATCTGTCGTATCCTAAACAGATGATCATCCGTCTAGACCTAGCCAATCTACACCTTCCTCTTCAATATCAAACAAACCAGTTGGCGTAAGTGTATGCCAAATTATACAAAATCTTAAACAGAATCCGATACCCGTATACTAAATGAAAGTCGCATGAAAGAAGCAGTAAGTGGGCTTACAGCCGTTCAAATATTTGAATTGTTTTTTGATGACGAAGTTTTTGCCATGATTGCTGACTTTAGTAACTTATACGTAAGTCAAAATAATCGACACAACTTTACAGTCCGTGCTGAAGAGCTAAAGATTTTCTTTGGAATACTAATTTGTCTGGTTATCACAAACTACCTGAAGAACGGATGTATTGGTCGTTAGATGAGGATATCGGGGTATCTACAGTGTCAAATGCTATGTCTAGTACCAAATTTAGAGAAATAAAAAGAAATTTACACCTTGTAGATAACAATGACGCTCCGAATACAACTGATAAAATGTTCAAAGTACGAAAACTTGCGGATATACTTATGAGGAAATTCAACCAATAAAATACTTTCCACGAAAATATTTCCATAGATGAATCCATGATCAGGTATTACAGTCATCACTCAGCAAAACAGTTTATTAGAGGAAAGCCGGTGCGTTTTGGTTACAAAAATTGGGTAGCAGCCACTACTTCAGGATATTGTTACAGCTTCGATATTTACTGTGGTAAATCTGCGATTTCTAGCAATGAGCCGCTGGGAACGAGAGTTGTTAAAATGTTGCTAAATAAAATGACAATAGACCGCGCAAATCACAAAGAATTTTTTGACAACTTTTTCACTAGCTTATGATATGAGAATTGATTTGCGCCAATTAGGTTATCGAGCTACAGGAACGATTCGTGACAATCGTACTAAAAAATGCCCATTGGCAAATGCCAAAGAGATGAAGAAACGACCAAGAGGAGATTATGATTACCGATTCGACAAAAAGAATGAAGTATTACTTGTTCGCTGGACAGTATTTGCACAATGGCGACGAATTACGATTCACACAAACCGGTAGGACATATAAAAAGGTGGTCTACAGAAAAGAAGCAAAAGGTTGATATAAAGATCCCGCATTTATTTCAAAATTATAATAAAAGCATGGGCGGAGTTGATGAAATGGATCACTCAATTTCACTTTATAGAATTCATGACAAAAAGTGGTGGTGGGTATTATTTACCTACATGATTGATATGGCTATATCAAATGCTTGGCGGTTACACGTAAATTCTAGAGAAGAAACAATGGACCAACATTTATTTCGACGAAACATAGCAAGATTCTATCTAAAACAATCGCCCCAAAGACATTCTGCTCGTCCCGCAACGTCTAATGTGGAGGGTCTGTAACTAGATGGTGCAGACCACGTACCTGAAAAGCTTCCCAAACGAGTACGCTGGGTAGTATGCCATAACAGGAGCCGCTGGAGTTGTAAAAAATGCAAGAAAGCGCTTTGCAAAGAAAAACCATGTTTTAAACATTTTCACTCATTAGTGGCCACTGTACCAATTTGGGTACACCCCTTTAAAATGCTGAAAAATATAAAATTCTGTATTTTTTCCTTCTCATTCATTTTTTGTATCCTTTATAATAAGCAAATAATAAAAAAAAAACAATAAATCCTTGTAATTCTTATTGACCGTTAATGGGTTAAGACCTATATCTTGTTTTTCATTTTAGAATTGAAATCGAATGAAATAAATTTTAAACAGTGGAAATTTCAGATAAGGTGTGCTCTTCAAGCAAATGGGTTAGATATCTACAAGCCAAAACCAGAAAGAAATTAAATTCAATGGAATAAAGATGATGGGTTGGCAATGTTTATAATAATATCGGCTATGGATTTGAATCAAATATCACTTATTAAAAATTGCGAATCAGCACTAGAGGTGATGACAAAACTTGAATCCATCTATGAATAAAAATCCGAAATGACTAAAATGATGATCCATGAGCGCTTCTATCAATATAAAATCTCATTGTCAGATAGCATCGCGCAGCATATTGCCAAAGTTGAAGGCTTGGCTAAGACACTTAAAGAAAGTAGAGAGATCATTAGTAATACTGCAATCATAACTAAAATATTGAGTACGCTACCTCCCAAATACAGATCCCGGCACCAAACTTGGATGTCACTTGATCCCCAGAGCCAAACTATAGGTAACTTGACTGCTCGCTTGTTAGACGAGGAAGTCAGCATAAATGTAGAAGAAAATAAAATTGCTTAATTAGTGTCAAAACAATGTACTAAAGAGAAAGCTATGCCATTAATTAAAAATAATATTGATGAAGGTTCGAAATGGATATTGTATAGTGGACTATACATGGATATGATATTGTTAAAAAGAGCACCGATGCTTTGGTTTACAAGGACAATAAAACAGTGTTATGTGCATCATTACAAAGCAACAACTTGTGTGAATTCAAAATGAAAGCAATACAAAATTCAGTATGTAAGTAATGCAAAAATTGGACCTTAAGACGTATCTTAAAGTCCAATTTTTGCATTCATGCCGTAGCATGAACGTCTTGATCATTTAAATGTGAAAGAAATACAGAAAATGTGCAAAAATAATGTGATTACCGGTGTGGACTTATCTGATATTGAAAAGTTTGTATGTGAGGGTTGTACTTATGGTAAGCATGCTCGTCAACCATTCCAGAAATCAAATAGAACACCACAGGATCCAGGTGATGTTATATATAGTGATGTTTGAGGATCGTTTAATGTGCTCTCCGTGCAAGGAATGAAATACTTTGTTATATTTAAAGATGCTGCTGCAAATTTCAGGTATGTGTACTTCATAAAAAATAAATGTGGATGTATTAGAATATTTGAGAAAATATAACACGATGATTAAAAACAATTTTTTGCATAGTGTACGCATATTACATACTGATAATGGCGGAGAATACAAAAACAAAGATTTTCAAGAGTACCTTGACAGCGAGGGTATTACTCATGAGCTCACTGCTCGTTACACCCTTGAACAGAATGGCCGCAGAACGAGAATTAGGACAGTAGTTGAAAGTGCCCGCTCCCTGTTATATGCTCGTAATATACCACTCGAGTTATGGGCAGAAGCAGTAAATTGTGCCATTTACATACTGAATCGTACATCTTCAAGTCAGACACCAAAAATAACACCCATGGAGTTGTGGTGTGGTATAAAACCTGATTTGAACCATGTCAGTCTTTGGTTGTGAGGGATACGTTTATGTGCCAGATCAGCTGAGAAAAAAACTTGATAGCAAAAGTCGTAAAATTATTTTAGTTGGTTATTATAATAAAAAATAAAATATAAAGAAATTTTATTTTCAATGAACAAAAATGTTCAGAATTAAAACAGAATGTAGCTCAAATTACCATATGTAATTATGATGAACAAACTAGTGAAGAATTTGTAGATGACACTGAGTCAAATATGAGTGATCATAATTCTGGCAGTAATGATAGTACATGTACTGCCAACGACCAAAATGATGAAACATATGAACCATCACAAGAAATTGACTTTGCTTACTTAGATTATTTCAAATATTAATTTACGTCCAAGTACAAGAAACGAGTTTTTAGAGGCAAACATACTGGAGTCTGATGTCCCTGTGACTTATGAAAAAGTAATTAATAGTCAGGAGCATGAATCATGGTTGTAGGCTATAAATGAAGAATTAGAATCTCATCTTAAAAATAACACCTGGAGTTTTGTAGATAATAAAAATCAAAGAACTATAACGTTAAAATGGGTTTTTAGTATCAAAAGAAACCAATATGGTCAAGTAGAAAGATTTAAAGCTCGACTCTGTGCCCGTGGCTTAACACAAATTGAAGGGATAGATTACAATGAGATTTTGTCACCTACCACCAGATATGAATCAATAAGGACACTTGTCTATCTCTGCTGAGTATAACTTGATTATAAGGCAGTTGTGATGACTGCATTTTTGTATGGAGAGTTGGAGGAGGACATTTTATGGAAGTTCCATATGGAGTTAAAGCACCTGAAAATAAGATATGTAAATTGAATAAATCCCTCTATGGGTTAAAATAAGCATCTCGTTGCTGGAATCATAAATATACATCATTTTTTTTTTAATTCGGCTTTATTCAATCACAGGCAGATAACTGTGTATTCATAGGTAACTTCAATGGTATAGAGGTTTGTTAATATTATATGTAGATGATGCTTAACTATGTCTAAATCGAGTATTAGAGCATATTATAAGTTATTTGACACAGGGCTTTGATATTAAGGAATTAATTTTGAATTGGTTTGTTGGTTTAGAAATTTTAAAAACTTATACTCTGTCAGTATCTGTCAAAGGTTGTATATTAAACAAATACTAAATAAGTTCAATATGCATGTTGCTCATGCTTGCAGCACACCCATTGATGTAAATGTTCAATTGGGTAAGAATACTGATACTAATGGAAATAATAATTACCCTTATAGAGAAGCAATTGGTTCATTATTGTTTTTGTCTATGGCAACTAGGCCAGATATATCATATGGGTCATGAAAATTTTATTGGATATTCAGATTCATATTTTGCTGGGGACTCGGACACTAGAAAGTCAACTACTGGTTATATTTTCATGCTGAACGGTGGACCTATATCTTGGTCTAGTCAAAAACAGTCTTGTGTTGCCTTATCCACAACTGAAGCCGAATTTATGGCAGTTTATGAAGCAGCCAAGAATCTATTATGGTAACATTTAGCTCACATTATATTGATCAGAATTGCATAACTCTATGTATTGATAATCAAAGCACAATTAAACTAATTAACAACCCTGTTTATCATAAAAAAACTAAACATATTGATGTAAAATTTAATTTCATCAGAGAGCATTGAAAGAAAAAATTATTGTTATAAAATAAGTGCAAAGATCTGATCTGATCTGATGTGATCTGAATCAGCTGGCTGACATTCTAACTAAAGCCCTGCTAGCTTATAAGTTTGAGCTTATAAAAGATGAAATAATGTCACCTATGTAATTTGTTTATTTTTTAAAGCATTAAGTTATGTATTAAAACTGATAAATATGTTTTCTGTCGTATAACATTTAGTGGGAGTATTGAGTTAAATTTTATATGAATAGATGGCGCTTGTTTGCTTGCCTTCCTGTTTTTTTTTGGCTTGTATCAAGGCTGGTCTATTATTTTTGTTTATAGTTCGGAATAAAATAATTTTTTATCTGAAGAAATCTTGTTTCTCATTTTAGAATAAGCCCAATATGCCCTCAGTATTACAGATAGTGAAATTAATTTTAATGAGTTAGAATTGATTGGTTTAAAATTAAGGGAACCAATCAGAGATTCATTAATGAAATTGAAACTACACATCAGTCAAATGTCATCACCTGACGTTGATGAGGTTAGTAAGTATACGTCCACCGAAATTCAAGCAGATCCTTTTTTTATTGTTGCACGACAAAGTGACTGTAATATACCTGGTGGGAAGTGACAAAACAGTCTAATAATAGTCGCAGCTGTCACAAGTCGAAACTACTCCTGGTCTTGCCGGCCTGTTAAAGAGCCTTTTCATATCTCTTTTGAAGCAAGATCTAGTTGCCGAGATAGAATTTCAAGTTAGTGAAACATCAGAAATCAATGTACTGTTGCTCCAAGCTTACATAACATCAGTAGTAAATTACCATGGATTGAGTTAGCCAGATTTGATGGTGATATTCTAAAATGCCACCAATTGTGGGACCAGTTTTCCTCTAATGTAGATAGTAGGAATATCAATGACGTTGACACACTACTATACCTTCAGTCGGTTCTGGACGGTGACGTGAAGCAGACTATTGAAGGACTAGACACAACCAACAAAAATTACAGTATAGCTGTGAACATTCTCAAAGATAGATACGGGAAACCTTCAGCTATTATTGACGCACATTATGTTGCCCTCTATAGAATAAAACTTCCTATCACATGTATGCTGATGATTTGCAAATTTACACTCAAGCCTCTATAGATGAACTACCTACAACAATTACTACCATCAATAATGATTTGGAACATATCTCAGATTGGAGTCGACGGCACGGCCTGTTCGTCAATCCTCACAAAACACAGGCAATTATCATTGGAAGTTGGTATCAAACTAGGATAAATAATGGAACACTGCCACCGATATTGTTGAATGGCGTTTGTTTACACCATTACAGGACAATTGTCGCGAAGGCGAAGAAAACAATATAATAGTTTAGTATGTATGGTGCTAGAGGGAAAATGATCGCCTATTACTGGCAGCGCTAATTTATCGATTTCACTATGGGCATTCCTATCTGTCAGTTAGCTGTCACTGACAGGCTTTTTGATGTTGATATTTGGATAAATTACGCGCCATTGTTTTTGCGGGTTGTTTTTCGTGTGGAGCTATTGGAGTGGACCTGGTTAGTCTTGGATGTATTAATTGAATAGTAAAGCGTGTTTTTCAATGGAAAGGAACATATAGTATCGTTAAAAGCGACACGCTCTGGGTGTTCTTAACGTTATTGAAATGCATGTTAAAGATGTATATTGTGCATAATGTTGTTTAATGTGTATTGTGGGATACTGCTTGCGAGCAGGATCTCGATGTATAGAATCTGCCTGCGTGGCAGTCCCAGTAGTGGGTATAGAATCTGCCGGCATGGCAGTCCCAGCAGTGTGTTAGAATAACGAACGAAAATTAGATTTGCAACGCCAATTCGAAAAGAATGAGTTGCAGTGGGAAGAAATAATTAAACATGTGTCCTGCTATTGAAAGAGTTATAAAAATATGGTCTGTCCTAAAATCCCATTTTGCGGAATTCCTCAAAGAATACCCTCGTTTATTAGAAAATATAATTAACTCTGAGGGAAGAGAAAAAGACTTTGGCATATTTGTCATTTTTTCATAATGTTATGATATTTTTCAAGGAATTTAATTGAAAATAATACGTATTTTGTCATTTATTTATTCAGTAATATAATGAAAATTGTGTCTTATTTCAATCAGCCATTAATTACCTTCTTAACAACTAACTTGCCTATAGATATAGACAACGGCAACATGTATTTAAGTGCCTGGGTTAAATGATAACGTATTATAAAACGGATGGTAGTCTTTATCAATCACTGCTTTTAGTTCTTGTAAATGTTTAAATTTGCTCTCTGTTATTTTCAGCGGGAATTCATATAATCGTTTTGGCACAACATGGTCTCGAGAAGGACCTCTTGTAACAGTGTGCCATGCCACCTTTTGTTTTCCTAGGTTTCAGTATGCAAACTTTTTGTTTTTGAAATTCAACATCATTTCTTTTTATTATTCGTCTTTCGTAATTTAAAATTTTGACTAATCAATTATACTCTTTATGGATGTCAGTTCGTAAGAAATTCTTCTAATTATTTTTTTATTAAATAATTTTAAAATAATTTACTGATTGTGATAAAGAATGTGATATTGTGACACAAATTATATAACATATGTACTAAATTGCAATCTGTATTTTGGACGATCCAAGAGTTTAACTAGAAGCCCGACAAGGGGTATGTATTCGCTTATTTGATAATTTAAAATTTATAGTCAAGTAACTTACGAACTGTTTTTTTAAATTTAATTTTTGTTTGTTACAGTTTCTTATTTACCCTTATACAATTAATTAATAAATCTATACTCAAGTTAATCAGCCTTATTAATTGACCCAAGCGCCGAACCCGTCACACTCTTCGCTGCGGTATCATGGTCCATTCATCGATGTGTCGCAACTTATATAAGACAGATCCATCTGGTAGATACTTGAGCCCTCGTATATTTACTACAACCGGATCTCCCTTCTTTCTTCCGTGTCTTATAGATTTGAAATTAGAATCAAGGTCTACGTAATTTAGAAAGAAGTCATAGTCCATTGACTTGACAACGTAAGCGTTTCTCGGGCTAGCCTGAAGCATTCGAGTTACGTAATCGCTGGATGCATAAATAGGGGGTTTGATGTACTGCTCAATTATAGAATGGACACTGTCCACTTCCATCATTGTGTGGCCTTTTTCTAAATATGCTCAATACTAAATTTAAGTCTTTGGGATACATTGCTTAAAGCATTAGATAATACTCGGTTACGGTTCTGGTGGCCACATCCGTCGGAAATAATAACAATACGTTCAGTTTCAGGCGGCAGGTAAGTTATATAATCTATTAACACGTTGAGTGCGAAACCAGGTCTAAACATTAGACATACGCAAAACAGTACGTCAAATAGTAATGCAACATCACGCATCACTTCCACGGAAGTGATATTACTCCGTAACATCACACATTACCTGATCGATTTTTAATGAAATGCTGACCGAGTAATGTTTAAGGTGATATGTAAGGTAATACACGTCATATTGAAAAATAGCAATAATAATTGCAATACTTATTACATATCGTAAAATTACAATTTAAGTAAATATTTAAAAAAAAAAGTAGTTGATTTGTACTTACTCTATTTTTGACTTACATTTGTACATTAATGTCGATAGAGATATATATACCTATAATGTTTTAGATTTATAAAACAAAGCAAAAATGCGGCAATTTCATAGTAGGTAGCTCTGTGGTAAAGACCTATCATAATATTAGTACTTACTTACTTAAATATTTATTTACAAAACACAAAAACTTTGTTAGTTTCGCTCGGGATACTCGCGCATCATCTACGTAAACATTACGAACTAAGACGACGCTGACCGAACGTTGCCGAAGTGATGAGTGATGCAAAGTGATATTACTTTTGTACTATCACACGCATTACCTACCTGTAAATGATGGAGGTGCTGGTCACAAACGCTGGTGGTAAATACGTTGGCGTGCGGGTGCTGAAGACACTTTTTTAGTAAATTAGAAGGGGAAAAAATTAAAACAGCATCAATTGTCAGCCAAAAAGTCAAACTATATTTTTTTTCCTTTAAAATCATATATAATAAAAAAAAAAACAAATGTCTAATAAAAGAGGTTGTCATCGACAACACTACCCATAGACAAGATGATCTTGTATACGTCTCGCTTACAGTGCGACTAAGAAAAGTATATAGACTTCCTTGTCATGCGGAAGGCATGACTTTAACTTGGTTCGGTATAGGAAAGAGTGAAATGCAGCGAAAATTAAATCAAATGATAGATTGATTTATCAAAGACAGGTGAGTCAGCATTATTATTTATTTGATTTACCTCATTACGTTTCCCTTGGTAGCAGCGCGAATGCGCGCGTTACTTATTTTTTTTGGTGATAGCGTTGCCAACAAAAAAGGCAAATACGCAAATTTGGGGATAATTTTTTTAATTTTTCTCAAAAAAGGTGCATTCTACAGATTTTTCGTATTTGACTTTTTTGTTGCCAATGAGGTCAACTATCATCATAAAAGAACAGACCGGAATTCTAACTTGAGTTCCTATGTCCACTGTTTTCCAAATCTGGATCACCATGTGACGCACCGCTCGACTCCACGCCACAAGCGACGACACGCCGCCTCTCATATGCAATATTTAAGTTAACAAAAAGGTCAAGTGCGAGTCGGACAAGCGCATCGAAGGTTCCGTATTAACTAATCCTGTAAAGTTAACGAATCGAGTCTTTGATTTTTTTTTCGTTTTTGCCAATTATGTTGTAAATAACAAACTTAACTTTGCTATTTTCCCGAAGCCAAATACGGTTTACCAACTGGAAATATACGTTTGTAATCGCTAAAATGTTGTTGTTTTGTTATGTAGCAAAAAAATATACGGTTTTCAAATTTCCAGATTCATACCTATTCTTTTGTTAATTTTAGTATTATTATTGTTTCTAGCAATCTAAAGAAAAGGATTACAGTTATCGGATTCGTGAGTACTTATTGTATAGTTGGAGTGGTATTTCTAATATTTGAATGCAAAATATGTTCAATGACGTTTTGTGTTTGCGTGTATAGCTTAAAAGCAAGAATCACTAACACACCTGCACTGAGATATATAACAGAATGTTTAAAAAAAATTAATACCTGCATCATCGAAAAAGATGGTTTATACTTATGGCACGTCATGATATAGCGGTTATTACATCTTCCGGTGCCGTTGGATCGAGATAAGAAATCGCACTTAGAATCTGTCGGATGCCATGTGGTCGGAAAGATGTGATCATGCTAGCCTCTTAGCTTCCCTCCTGCTTCGGATCCAACGGTGTCGAAAGATCTAATAAGCTTTTATGTGTTCATCTAACTAATCTGCATTGTATTACCTCATTTTACTCGCCTATTTCAGAAGCTAGCACAAAAGTATAAAGTGTTACTTTATGGTCGAAATATTCAATGCTCAAGTCTATATTAAGCATCTATCACAATGTTGATATCACAAAATATTCAAAACTAATAGTAATTGACGGCTACAAAACGAAAAAGTCTAACACTTTCTCGCCCGATCAGTTGAATATGTTCTTGAATGAAGCACCTGATCAGCTATATCATTTTACAAAGGTTAGTTACTGCAACATATGCGAATGTTTGGTTATCAAGTTGTGCTAAGTAAACAAATACTTATTCAAATTACTTGTTGCATGTTGCAGTAATATTTGATATAATGGGTGCATGTCGACGACAAGAGCTGTATAATATTGAATTGAGGGATGCGGAAGTTTTTGAGTAGACTATTTTAGTAAAGATTTGCAATACCAAAATAAAAATTAACCGTTTCTTTACCATTACAGGTTCATATTTTAAACTTTGTAAGAAATACATTGAACTTCGACCAAATGCTTGTAAAACGCCTAGTTTCTTTATTAATTATTGTGCTGGAAAATACTTCAACCAGAAAATTGGCATTAATAATTTTGGAAGTCTTGGAAAGGCTGTCGCACACGGAAGACCTTGTATCGAGAAAAACAGGCAAGAAATTCGGTAAGAAATTAAACTGATTAAGTGACCATTTAGCTTAAGGTTATTTGTTTTTACTCTCTGTGAAAATGGATACTACACCCTCTGAGTGTGCTCAAGTTGTGGCACTGATCAAGGTAGGACTGAGTAGCCAGGCGTCTTCACCTGAGTCGTTTCAGAAGAAGAACCAACTTATTCATTGATATTATAACAACTGACACCATCCCAGAACAATGGAGCGAATCTCATATTATTCTCCTCCATAAGAAAGGTGAAAAGGATAACATCGCCAATTATAGACCAATAGCCCTCATTTCAAATGTGTATAAAGTCTTTGCAAAAATAATTCTGGAAATAATAACAAGATTCCTAGACGAAAGTCAACTAATTGAACAGGTGGGATTCCGGAAGAACTTCAGTACAATAGTCTTGGGAAAAATATGACGAACATCAAAAACCCTTATTAATCTGCTTCATAGACTACTCCAAAGCTTTTGACAGCCTTAACCAAAAATGTATCTTGCTGAGTCTAAAAGTGAAAGGAGTGGATGAGACCTATATATAAATAATTAAATCTATCTACAAAAAATGCAAAAGTCGCATCAAATCAGTCGAAACAAAAAGAGACTCATTTCCCATACACAGATATATAATATATAAATATAAATATAAATAATTTAGCAATGTTATACTTTTTATTTCTTTTGGAAGCGGGTGGTTGCCATTCGGAAGTCTAATATCATTTGTGGTTATTAGTGGATGTACAGTAGGCTGGCTGCTAGTGCCTGCACGCAATTATACATTAAATGTAACTTATAAAAATAATTTATAAGTAGTAATAAAAGTTTATATAAACGTGTGGTTTCCTCTAACATTGTTCCATGCTCATCTTCGGTAGATATGTCAGGTGTATGAACTTCTTCAGTCTATAACAAAAAATAAAAACAAAAGAGAAAAAAAAACCTCAGACGAGATTTGAATATTCGTCTTTTGCCAAAAGTAAGTATTTTAATATGATTTTCGTTAATCTTTTCAAAGCTAAAACATACATATAAGATATAATACAATCAGAGAAGACTAAGAATTATTTTTATAATAATAATAATAAAAATATCGTGTTAATTATAATGGTTTAATATTATGAAATGTATGTTAATAACAAACATGTAGAATAAATAATAAGTAAACCTAAAAGCTTCCTGTACTCCAATTATTTGCATAACTCAATTTTCTAAATCAGTCAAAGATAATTGAAGTGCCGGCCCACTACTAGTGCCACTAGCAGCTTTATTAATTTTGGCCCATTTCCTTTTGGTGTTATTTTTTAAATCGCTCCACACCTTCAATATAAAAAATAACTTGGGAAGGTACGTTCTAAATGTAATAACTAAAAATTTCTTTGCCTAAGGCTAAATAAAAACTTGAGTGTTAAGTGATTAGGGAGACTACTTGAGAATGCATACCTTGCGCCACTTCTCCTCCGAGCGAAAATCATCCGTCCCTTCACTGTCCAATTTCTTTGTCAATTCCTTTCATTTTAATTGAATAAAATAACGACGATCTGGATCCGACAGTGTAAAAGAATAGCATTGACTTTACCATAGAATCAGACAATAGTGTTGCCAATAGAAATGTAAATTACTAACAAGATGAAGACACGGAACGGCATATTGTACAATATTTGAATACATGTAACAACTGGGGTTATCCGTTTAATACTTATAATTTAAGACTTATGGTTAAATCGTATTTATTTCAATAGTATATCATACATAAGAGATTAAAAATAATATGCAAAGATCAGATTATGTAACAAGATTTTCGAAGAGGTATAAAGATTGTATTTCTTTAAGAATGTGTCAAAGTATTAAAAAGTCCAGAGCTCAAGTTTCGATTGTTATAATAAAAGAATATTTTGAGGAGTTACAAGAATCACTGAAGGACATAGTTCCAGAAACATATTTAACTATGACACAACTTATCTTAGTGATGATCCTGGGCGGAAGAAGGTAATAGTTAAACGGGGAACTAAGTATACCGAAAGAGTCCTTAATCAGTCAAAATCATCGATATCCATAATGACTGCTGGTACAGTTGCAGGTGAGCTTTTACCTCCATACGTAATATATAAATCCAACAATGTTTATGAT